AGGTGAACTTTCTGCGGGCCAAAAAAAGTCTGCAGCCGAATCTTGGGGGAGCTTCTTCCTCACACCAGCAGCCCCTCAGTTTGCACAGGGAGCCCGCTCTGGTTTCCCGGTGCTCCCCCTCCAGAAGTCGGGGGCAGAAAGAGAATCCAAGCCTGAGGCAGAAGCTGTCAGCTTCCATGCCTGCTTGAGTCTGGAAGGGCAACGCCTCTTGTCTGTCCCTCTTGTGTTCTAATCAGGCGGGATTTGATAGCCGTTTTAGGCTGAGCGCCTCCTGGTTCCATTTTAGAGGCTGGAGCCTGGGTAACTTCTCAGCACCTGAGCGAATTTAGTGCTAGTCAAACGAGGACTACATGGCCTTTGCTGAAATTGCCAAGAGTGGCCGTTAACGTCTCTAGTCCGGCACCCTCCGGACCTGACCTGTGCTGACCCAGAGAATTTGCTGAACCACTGGGCTCCAAGAAGACTTTTAGGGGTAGATTAGAGCTACATAACAGCACAGAACACTGAGAGCCAGGGTTGGTGGCTGTAAACAAACTTTATGAGGCTGCGGAAAACTTGGTGAAAGAAAGGAAAGAAAGGAAAGAAAGAAAGAATCAATCAATCAATCAATCATGCTGGATGCCGGAGGTTGGTGGACCAGATAGCGCCGGATTAGAGAGGTTCAACCTGTACTGCAGCCATTCTTCCACTCGGCACTGCATGGAGAATACAGCTGGTGTAATAAGTCACTGTACATAGTATTCTGGACAAATCTGGGTGCTTTCCACACCCAGTTATTTTACAGATGAATTATTCCAGTGGAGCCTCCCAGCATAGTTCACATAGGCGACCAGCAGCCATCAGGTAGTACTAGCAATTTGTGCTTCCCAATAGCCCAGGGATAGAGTGAAACTGGCGACCTAGAGAGCACACCACCTTCGTTTTCGTTGTGTCTTTATGTAGAGCTGGATACATGCACATCTCTCATGTGACCTGGTGGCTGGAGCCCAATGGTAATTTTGTTCTATATAAATGAGCCTTATTTAAATATGTCTAGTCTGCTAGGCCTTGGCTAGGGAAATCGGAAGTTGAATCACTGTGACTGCAGGTTGTATCAACTACAGTTCTCAGTCCATGAGCGTTTAGACACCTGTCGAGGCAGCAGCGTTTGGCTTTTTGTTCTCATTTATAATATGAGCTAATCTGCCAGGAGCCAGCCTTTTAGATCCCTTTTCACGAGACAGAAGAGAGTGATTCGAAATATCCCGACACTAGGACTTTTAAGATGCTGTCAACAAAAAATCTGAAAATCAAAAATCAACCTGTGTCTGTGTGTGTGTGTCTCACGCATAGTGCCCGGCAGCTTTCTTTTAAACTCATTGCTGTTTTATAGTTAGTTTAAACTAAATTTGAGATCCCCTCAGATAAGGAAATATACACATTAGACCAGAATTTCTGCAGCAGCTGGGAAGCATCCCTTAGAAAATCCCAAATCGGTGCTGTGAAACAGCAGCGTGTCCCTCCAGTTCTTATGAGAAGAAAGATGTGTGTTGACTCACCATTCCACCACCGTGCGTCCCTTCCAAAGCACGCACCCAACCAGAAAAATGCCTTTGAATTGTTGTAGAACGTGGAGAGTCCGGAGACGGATCTCTTACAAAGCCGAGCCCAGCACAAACCGACCGGGAAACAATTCAATTGCCAATTGTGCGGGTTGGACTCACATATATAGGCATCGCTGAGATGTGGCCAATGTTTAACAAGAAGGCTGGGTTCAGAGTAGCACCCACCAGCTGGTCCTGCCCCTTTGCGGTGGTGCCGAAAGCCAAGAGGCAGTGGAACGGGTGCAAATGGACATGGTTTGGGATATCTTTGCTGGGATTCCAACATCCAGGCCTGTCGTGTTCCTGCAGGGCAAGTTTGTGGGCAGGCCAGGTTGGGCGGAGGACTTGGCTCCTTGCAAGTGAAAGAAAACAGAGGAAGAGGGAAGGGCTCTATGGTTCCTGTTTGCAAAGGGCACAGGGAGGGGTCAGGAAATGCAGCCAGATCTTGGTGTTTCCCTGGCTCACCCGTCCCAGTTAGACAAATTGCAGGAACTGCCCCCTCAAAGGAAGGCGAAGGGGCCCACCGTTATACGGACAATGAATGTGCTTTACTGGAGACGCTGAAGGACTTTTGTCTGAGTTTATTTTATTCCGCTGAGTATAGTCAGTTATATCAATGCAGAGCCGGGGCGCGAACAGCCACTCCGGGTCCCCGGGCAGCAGAGGGGAGCCAGCTACATGCTCCTGGAATGAAAATCCACACTGAAAATCCCAGGGATGCTCGTGCCATCCACGCACTGAATAAACCAACCCCCCAAGGCACAGCCCCTCCAAGGGCCGTGGACCTGGTCTTCCACATGGTCCTGGGGTACGTCATGCGATCACTCCCAAATCTTGTCTTCTGTGATGGCTTTGTCCCACATTGGGCCTATGGCTGCATTCTCAAAGGAAGCTATAGCTCAGAGAAGGGCTTTAGGACAAATGCTCCCTCCCCTTATTTTGAACTCACAGGCTGCGGCAGGTTTTTTCATCTTTGAAACAGGATGTCCCATGAGGGTGGGATACTAAGAAAAGACTTTTATCCGGAACCAGTGCTAGCAGGAATCGACTGCAATGCCAGTCTTTTTCTTTTCTTTGCTGCCCTCGCAGGTAAAATAATAGTGGATCTGGGGGGTTTTCTCCCAAGGGTGATGAGCACTTGCAGCGTTTATTGACACTATTTGAAGCTGTGTGCTCCCAGCACGGGTACAAATCAGCCCCTTATATTTGTGTAGCGTCAGTAGCAAGGTACCAGTGACAGCATGAAACACGGGCACTTCCCATGCTTGCAAAGTGTTCTCAGGAGTGGCCTTTCTGTGGAAGATTGCCTGTTGGCAGTGTGCTTATTTTACGCCACGTTGTTTGCTCAGGGCGTGGGGCCATACACAGAAGGAATGAAAATAGCTGAGAGGAAGGATTCTGCGGAATGATCTTAGATGGGTGGACACCGTACAAATGTTTAGTCTGGGATCGGCAGGACGGCGTTGCCAGGAAAGGTCACGGCGCCAGAGAGAAGCCACGTGGAGGTTTGTAGTCAATAGTTCTCAGGATTAGCAAGTGCGAGGGAGAATTCTTAGCCGTCTTTATCAGAGCCTGGCCTGCAGGGAACAGATTCACCTCTGAGGGGTGATATTTCTGTCTCTGAGCCGGTATCCGCGAGTGGGGAAGCCACTGGAACTATCCGGCTGTTCATAGCCGAGATCTGCCCATGCAAGGGCCAGTCAGGAACAGCGACTGGAGTGGGAGGACTGATTTATAGGGTGTCTCCACCAACAGCCCCAGGGTGAGATGGGGGCTGGGAAGAAGTCTTCGCTACTCCTTGCCCTTGCCATGGGTTGCTGAGCTGAAGGCCAGAAAATAAATTCAAGTGCCATTTAGGGTTAGAGTTAGGAGTCTGCATCCAAAATACATTTCCTGTTCCTGTCTCCACGGCGTCACTCGGGCCTGTGGGCCCATTAAAGCTGTGCAGGCGGGCTCACAATTCAGGCAGCCGAAACTGAGATGAAAGGAAACCAGCAATCAATGAAAAACTTGCAAAAATGTTTCATGGATCTTTATCTGAACTGAGTCCCTGTCCCCTTGATCCTCACTAGTGAACAGGGTTATCAGGTGTCTGGTTTTTGCCTGGACAGTTCAGTTCCATCCAGTTTAAAAAAACCCAGAAAATACCGGACATGTAAAATATCCTGTATTTTCTGTTTTCCTCAGATCGAAGGCCAGCGGCGTCTGCAAGGGTGGGGGGGAGTGAGGAGCATGGTAATTTAAAGGCGCAGTGACTTGACTTTTTTTTTTTTTTTTTTTTGCTTAACAACTTTGGTCTCCTCCCTTTTTTTTTCTCAACAAAATTTTTCCTGGTGTGTGTTGTTGGGGTTTTGTGTGTGTGTGTGTGTGTGTGTGTGTAGGGGGGGGGATTGTGCTTGGAATTTTTTGTTAAACCATCTGGCAACCCTGCTAGTGAAGGAAGGGCTGGATCCTCAGCAGGGGAATTTACACCCTCAAGGGATCCGCCCCCCTAATTTTCAGCCGTAGGGTCTTTCCGTCTCTTGCTACTCCTCGGACAGATTTGGACTGTGGTTTAGCTCAGTTGCCGTCAGTTATGTGGACAAAAGAAGCACGGCATGTGCCCGCGGTCGCTGCTAGGAACCGTGGGCTCCCTTGGGAGGTGTAAGGGACGTCAGAAGGCCAGCCAGCACGGAGAGTGCTCTGGGATCCCTCAGGCTCACTCTGTGTGCTATAAAGTGTCCCATCTGTTTGCCTTGCTGATAGTACCCCACCCCCAAAACCCCTGCTTCCTCGGTGAACTACAGACCTTGCACGTCAGGCAGCTGCTCTCTACCCTGAATGCTCGTGTCCCTCGCACGTGGTGCACACCCGCTGTGTACACACTTCCAGGGAACTGCAGCCATTGTGCAAGGCATGCTCCCGCACAATCGCCTCTGGATGCCTG